CAGATGATTTTGCGCTCGAGCGGAGTTCGTTTCTTTAGTGGTACGCTCGAGCGGGTATTATTGCGCTCGAGCGGAGTTTTCACACTTCCAGTATCTGTGGCTCTGCAAAACTTCTGCAGATGTGTTTTTCACGCTCAAGCGGGTTTCCTTGCGCTCGAGCGGGTCACGCTCGAGCGGGTCTGTTGGCGCTCGAGCGGGGTGTTCAGTGTCAGCGAAAGTTCTGAGAGGGAGTAATCTACGCTCGAGCGAACTGGTTTTCGCGCTCGAGCGGATGTATTTTGTTCTTGTGTCTTGGCGCTCGAGCGGGACTTCTTACGCTCGAGCGGTTCTAGTTTTTGTGCTTGACGCTCGAGCGTTCTATTCTCCGCTCGAGCGGATCATGCGTATATCAGTTGGCAGCTGTGCACTTTTGAATCACATTTCAACATCCTTTCTCTCTCTTACTTTTCCGAAAAAGCCGTTTGAGAGCTTCTCTCACTAAAACTCAACTTCTCTCTAAGTATTGATCTAGTAGGAGTGATTTCCTCACCTTTGGCCTTTACAAAAGTTGTGTTGATCGTCGAGGGCTACGTTTTGATCCGAGCATATTGAGTTTTGGAGCACTTTGGGTTTCGTCATCTTCTCTCTTTGAGCTTCGAATTTGAGGTAGGGATATCCTACTCCTCCTTATGAGTTCTGTCTTTGAATTTTTAGCATTTTGATATGTTGGGGGTTGTTGGGTATTTTTTTTAGAAAGTTTGGGTCTTTGTGTAATTTTACAAAAGATGGGGGTTTGTTATATGTAAACCTATATGCATGTTTGATAAAGAGAAATGAGGCTAATGTTGAACTATTGAAGAAAATGGAACTTTAGTGTTGTTATGTAGATTATGGGTAAAGCCCTAATTACATTGATAAATTAATTTATACAAGAAATTTAGCGAATTGAGAAATTGAATAGGAAACATTCAAATTAGAAAGATATGGGGTTAAATGGTGGAGGATAGTCTTGATTGTTATAGGCAATGTATGATGATTAGGCAAACTAAAGCTAATCTATTGAATATACTAATGAACATGGCAATTGGTTTAATACATCAAAATTTTGTATTGATAGGTTGAATTTGTATATGATAATTGTTTATATGCATTGTATTGTGTGGGAGGAGAACGGGGCTGTACTCCACGGTTTATTGGAAAAACGGGGCTGAACCTCTAAACCGAATCTTGTGACAGTGATATAGCACTACAATGTGTATCAGGCTGCGAATTAGAAGTGTTTTCTTGTGACAGTGATACAGCACTACAATGTGTATCAGGCTGCGAATTTGAAGTGCTTGTTTGATTTGATATAGCACAAAAATGTATATCATTATTATTCGTGAAGCATGAAAGTGTTTGTTTGATTTGATATAGCACTAAAATGTATATCATTATTATTTGTGAAGCATGGAACTGTTTGTTTGATTTGATATAGCACTAAAATGTATGTCATTATTATTATTCGTGAAGCATGGAACTGTTTGTTTGATTTGATATAGCACAAAAATGTATATAATTATTATTCGTGAAGCATGGAAGTGTTTGTTTGATTTGATATAGCACTAAAATGTATGTCATTATTATTATTCGTGAAGCATGGAACTGTTTGTTTGATTTGATATAGCACTAAAATGTATATCATTATTATTCGTGAAGTATGGAATTGTTTGTTGATTTGATATAGCACAAAGATGTATATCATTCCAGAAATATAGGAATGTCTTTGTTTGACTTTGACACAGCATCAAAATGTGTATCCACCATAAATTTCGGAAATGTTTTAGTGATGAATTATGATCTCATCAAATGATTTGGCCAAGGCACTGAGCCTTGTTTACAAACTCTAAGTTGAATAAGAAATGGAAAGTGAATTGCAACACGGACACGAATGTCATGGAACAGTAATGTGAGGTAAACGAGTGTACAAGTGTTGACCATCTATCAACTGCTAATCTTTTAGTCATTGCTTATAGTTGGTTTAGTGTATTTCTACTGGGCTATGGCTCACCCTATATGGGACACCATTTTCAGGTACAGGAAGCATGCCACCTCCAAGGACATAGCTTGAGAAGCTAAAGGCAGGCAGACGTTTGTGGTTGTATTACCTTTGTTATATTGCATGTAATTTCAAGCCAAGGGCTTAATGTGTATTTGAGTTAGTACTCTCCTCTTTGTAACCAAGTGTTAACTTGGAAAACTGTAAGCCCGTAGGGCATTTGCTTTTGTTGTTAACATGTAATGCTTTTGTAAAGAATCACTCTGATGAATAGAATGATGTTTATTTCTTATATCCATGCATGTCTAAATTGATGGGATTAATGCTATTATTTTGAGGGCGTTACAGATTATGATGGTGAAAATGGAGGCTCAGAGGGAATACAAGAAGAAGATGAATAGTAAAAATGTTTTGGTTCGAAATATAGGGTGTTCTGTGTAAAGCGCGTAAAAATGAGCGGGACTGTTCAAAATACGCGAAGTACATAGACGGCTGGGACAGTTGTGCTTGACCACTAAGGGTCAGCCACGTGTCCGTGGAATAAAAAGCGATTCAGATGTGCAGAGCAATTGAAAGGACGTTTATGGACCGGACTAATCGATAGCTCGGTAGAATATGAGTTTGGTTGAATAGAATATTCTTAGCTCGGCTGGAGGAAAATAATCCCAATCATGCTGCTCAGATGGAATTAAGGGGCAATTGAGAGGGTAATTTATGAATAAATTGGGCCGAGCTAAGGAAGTGACTTCTTAGAAAATTGGGCCGCACGACGGACTAAGGTAGAAGTAGATGTACCTCGGTCTAAGGACTAAGCGGGTATGGACCGAGGTGAGTGGGCTTCACAACCTGGACCTTGTTTGTCAGTCCGATCAAAGGCAACTGAGGTATAGGTTTAGCGAGGACCGAGCTGGGCATTATGCATAGGAGCGCTGAGATGAGTTCGCCGTTGTACCTGGTTAGCTCGGTCCTAAATGAATAGCCCAGTTAGAGTATGCCTAACCATGGTACAGGCACTGAAGGGAAGACCCGCCGGCTAGCTCACGTTTGTGTTTTCAGGGAGTAAAGCGACGACGTACGGAGGAGCGCAGACTTGATCAACAGGATTATATGAGAACATTATTTCGTGCTCGTACACAAGTCATAATAACATGGTACCTACACTTATAGTTTCTTGCAAAAATCACAAGAAAATACAAGAAAGTTAAAATATGTTACAAAAATAATTAGCTATAATTAGAATTCCTATTTTTTTGCAAAACTTTCATCCTAATCAAATTCATACAAGAAAATGTATTTCTTTTTTTTCTTTCACTTCACTCTCTATCATTTTTACTTTCCATTATTTATTTTTTTATAATCAAACAAAGCCTTATTTTAAGACAATAATGTTCTTATCTAGTGATTCCATTTACACTTTGCGATTACGATAAGGACTACAAAGTGCAATTGAAATCACTAGATAAGAAATATTATTATCCTAAAACAATCAATAAAGAGTATTATTGTTTTAAAAATTCAATAAATGTATCATATACTTTACATATGATTTAATTTTTTGTAAATTTCTAACTGAATCCTAACAACAACAAAAAAAAAAAGAAAAAAAGAAGAAAGAAAAGTTAATTGTAATAAAATAATATTTTGAGAAAATTAACTGTTAAGTTTTAAAATTTAAAAAGACAAAATAAAAATGAGTTATAGTTTAAAAAAATTTACTATAATTTACAGTGGTGTTTGTTTTGAGAGATTGAGGGGGTAAAATTACACTATTAGTCCATCCAGACTAATAGTTCGTTTTTTGGTTCAAAATTTTTGTACCAGACTATTAGTCTCAAATCTATTGGACTATTGTGTCCCATAGGGGGGTGGGACCCAAGTGGAGGGATAAGGGGAGATATAAGATTAGGTGGTGAAATGACTATTTTAACCCTCTACTAGTTAATTATGTATTATATTTAGTAAAATTCAACAAAATTTAAATGTCTCAATTTAAAAATAAAATAATTTTATTTAATTTTTATTGATGTTTTATTTGTTTAATTTTTTTAAAAATAATTTTTTATACATATTTTATTGATGTTTTATTTTAAAATTGAGATAATTACCTAAAAGTCCCATCTATATATTTGGTGGTAGCTTAGGTCCTATCAAAAAGTTTTTGAACTAATAAGTCCCATTTAGAGGTAAAAAGACATTTTTTCCCTTTAACATAAACAACTGTATATAAAATTTCATTCACGTTATTTACTAGAAAGAAAAAAGGAATCAGTTAACAAATTAGTTATGGAAATAGCTGAAGATTCGAATCGTGAACGATCTTGAAGGATTTATTGCTTTGGTTCGCTATTATACGTAATTGATTTCTCAATTTTGATTCGAATAGGAAAGGATCTTGAAAGATTTCTTAGTTTGGTTCGCATTTTGAGTTGAAACCTATTGGAGTTTGTTATGTGCGATTTCGATTTATAAATTGAAGAATTGATTTGCTGGATATTTAATCTTCGATTTTGTATATTATGTTTTTTTAGAATTTTCTGTTATGTTTACAAATGAGTAAATTTTTACTGTTATGTTTAAATTACAGTGGTGTCTCTCAAAACAAACACCACTGTAATTTACTATAATTTACAGTGGTGTTTGTTTTGAGAGACACCACTGTAATTTAAAAAGAAAATTAACTGTTATGTTTTCGATTTTGTATATTATGTTTTTTTAGAATTTTCTTTAGTTTTGATTGAATTTATTTATGAGAATATGTTGAATAATTTTGTTTTTACGAATTGAAAACGTGATTTGCTGGATGATTTCTCGGTTTGGTTATTTTTTTTATGAATTGAAAACGTGATTTGTGAAGTATTTGTATTGTTATGAAGTTTTTTGTTCTGGTGTTTATTGTTATGAAGTATTTGTGAAAACTGAGAAAGTTCTTAGTATTGTTCTGGTTTTGATTGATGCAATCTTTTTTTCTTGTTTAGATTGAAAGATGAGTGAAGGTTGTACAAGTGTGCCTATTTTTTTGTTGTGCAAGTATAATGGTTGCACATTTGCAATTAAGATTGATCAAAATGTTACATATGATCAGTTGGTTAAGAAGTTATGTTTGAAATGGGATAATTTACAATCTGATAATATTTGTCTATCTTACTCATTGCCTAGACATCCTAATTGTACGTTGGACAACAATGAGGAGTTAGATTTGTTGTTGGCATTAGTTGTACATTTTGATTCAAAGTGTAGTGATGTTGTTGTGCGAGTAAAAGACTCAACCATTGATTGTGATTATCTCAACAACAGATTAGATTATAGAGAAAGAGAGTCAATGTTGGATCTTGAAGTTTGTGATATTGCATTGTCTCATGACAGTAGTAAGTCTGTGAACTTGTCAAACAGAGCATCTACATCCTCCAAAAGGAATTCAAGGTTGGAGGTTGAAGAAGAGGTTGATATGTTATCATCATTTTGTTGACACAAGGGAAAAGTACTGTTGTCTGCTGGTTGGGCAGTTAGTATCGCATATAGGACAAAAATTTGAAGGTGGAATTGTTGAATTTCTTTATGCATTGTCGAAGTTTTCTATTGAGTATGAATTTGAGTTCATATTTGTTAAGAATGATAAAGTTCGTGTTACTGCACAATGTTTGTTTAGAGAGACAAAAGGTTGTATGTGGAATGTTCATGGTATAGTGGAGAATGCTAATGGGTTCTTTTATATAAGGAAGTTGAACAATGTCCACACATGTGGTGCTGAAGTACGTACGATGACTCATTCTCGTATGAGTTTTGATTTAGTTGCTGATTTGATTGTTGAAGGTGTTCGTGATAATCCATTGACACATCCAGTTTATATTGTTCGGGATTTTAAGTTGGGGTATGGGCTGAGAGTTAGTTATCGTCAAGCTTGGTTGGGGGTAGAGAAAGCAAAATGTGAGATTTTTGGAGACTACTTAATGTCATTTGACCAGTTAAGATGGTATGTGGATGTTGAAAAGAGTTGCAATCCAGGGAGTTACATTGAGTTTGAGTGTGACGACGATACTAAACGGTTTAAGAGATTATTTGTTTCTTTTCATGGTTCCATTAGTGGATTTGATTATTGTCGACCTTTCTTATTCCTTGATGGCACATTTTTGAAGGGAAGATTTAGAGGAAATTTACTTGCTGCTACAGGAAAAGATGGAAATCAAGATACATAAGAAATTTGCTGAAATTGAGAAAGTTTTCAGTTTAAAAATATGATTGAATGTTTTAAATTTTATATAATATTGTTGTTGTATATGCATTTTTTATTTTTTCAGTTATTCATTTTAGTGTTTGATATTTTGAATGTTAGAGTGTTACCATTTTCTAAGAATAATATAATATTTTTATTTTTTCTGTTTTGTACATGCAGGGTTCTTTCCTGTTTGTTTTGCAATTGTTGGCTCAGAGAATCAAGATAATTGGCGCTGGTTTTTGGAGCATTTGAGTAGAATTGTTTCACCACAACGAAATATTACATTTGTGTCAGATCGTAACCTTTGATTAGTTGAAGTGTTGCCAAAGGTTTTCCCAATGGCTTTCCATGCTTATTGTTTATATCATTTGAAGATGAGCTTGAGGCATCATTTGCGTGGCATGCTTCATGGATTGAAAGAAAAGATGATCACTTTGTTTGGGAAATGTGCATATGGTCCAACTGAAGAAACATTTCATCAATGTTTGGTTGAGTTAAAGACTGAAGGTGGGTCAAGAGTTGAAAAGTTTTTAGATGACATACCATATGATCATTGAAGTAATGCATATTTTCGAGGGCAACGCTTTGGAGAGATGTGGTCAAATGTAGCTGAATCTTTCAATTCGTGGATACGAGAGGAACGCCACTTGCCTATCACAAAGTTGATTGATAGTGTAAGAATTAAGTTGATAAGGAAAATTTCTAAGAAGAGGGAACTTGTTAATAAATGGAATGGTTTGATTTGCCCTAAAATGGAGTCCAAGTTGCATGATGGTTTTAATACTTCGAGGCCATGGATTATTAGTTCATCTGGAAATGATATCTATGAGGTGCATTCACATCCATTTGTTTCAGTTGACATTAGTAGACGAATATGTTCTTGTGGCGAGTGGCAGTTGAAAGGGTTTCCATGTGCACATGCAGTTGGTGCTATACAAAAGAGTAGACATGATTTGAGTTTATTTGTTGATCAATACTTCTATGTTCAAAGTTATCGAGAGTCCTATTCTTTTTCCATATATCCTGTTCCTTCAATTTGGAAACCAGATTGTAATGTTGATGGTGATAGTGAAGTTGTTCTTCCTCCTTTGTCTAAGAAGCAACCAGGAAGGCCAAATAAGAAGAGGATTTGTTCAAATGGTGAGAAAGTGAGGCAAATTACTTGTAGTAGATGTGGGAAGGTTGGCAATCACAATAAGAAATCGTGTAAGGAGGCTTTGTGATTTTTTGTAGTTGCTTTGTGATTGTAAAAATTTCGTATTCATAAATTTCTTAAAGTAGCAGTTTGTGCTGTTGAGAACTGAGTAATAATCGTCTATGTTTTTTAATCAAGTGACATTGAATTGAAAGTGAAAATATTCTTAGTTTCAGATTTTAATTTTTGAAATTGTTTGTGATAATATTGTTTGATTGGCTTTCGAAAATAAACTTGACTGTTGAATATTTGTTTTGTAGATTATGTGAATACTGTATAAAGTGAACATATTCTCAGTTTAAGTTTTTAGTTCAAAATAGCTGATTTTGTGATAATAGTGTGAGGCTCTTGTTATGAATTGGAACTAGTTATAAATGTGATGAATTGAATGAGTGTGAATTAATATTCTAAATAGATGTGGTCAATGCTTTATGTTTTGATTAAAGTAACAGTGGACTGTAAGTGAAAATATTCTTTGTTTCGAATTTTAGTTTTTCAAATTGTTATAATATTGTGAGGCAGCAAATAAATTGTTGTGATAATATTATTGTTTGAAAATTGAGTGATCTGTATAAAACTGAAAATATTCTCGGTTTTAAAGTTTCTAAGTTTGAAAATAAGTGATTGAAACAACAACAAGTTTGAAAATATTCTCAATTTTAGTTTTATGCAGTGTTTTGTGAGGCAACAAAACACTGCATAAAAACTGAAAATATAAACAAAAATATCAACAAAGCACTGATTGTGATGTAGTAAAGTCTTGTGTCCACTATTTTCACATGTAATACTATTTTCGCTTTTGCCATATAGTAGTGTGAGGAACAGGATAATAGAAACTGAGAATATGGACAAAAACATCAACAATGCTCGGGTGCATATATCTTGAGAGTATGACAAAATATTCCATTACACATCATAGAAATTGTAATATGTTTGTTAGGTAATATGATTGGAACTATTAACAAAGACATTAGTCCTTGTATCAGAGTGTTATAAAAAAAGAGTTCATTGAGTTACACATCAAAAAAGATTTCATTGAAGGTTGCAATCTTGACTCTACTTGACTTTGATTGATCTTTGTGGATCACTGAGGAACTCATGTACCATGTCTACTCTGAGTCATGTGGATGTGCCTGGTGGTAATGTGTTTGGAATTGGTTGATGCCTCATGTATTGTCTTATGATGTAGCAAACAATAATTCCACAGTCATTCCTACAGAAATTATTTTTGACATAGGGAAAAAAGAAATTTTTTTGAAAAAGATATTAAAATTTGTTAGTTAGAAAAATTAACATACGTCATTGCTTATTGTTGAGGGCTGTCTTTGACTAATTCAATCTTGACATCAGGATTCCAGGCTTTTTCTGCTTGACAAGGTGTATCCTTCATTTATCGATAGATGATTTTTTGCTGTAAAAAACATCAACATAAAGTATGTAATGATTTACATCTGATTATTGTAATGCTAATCTGAAATTGTTATTACCAGTTGATTTGCAACGTTATAGTGCTTGTCCTTTCCTTTTCTTGGTCTCAAAGAGTTGAAATGTTTCCAAATCCCCAAGTGTTTGTCGATAACAAGTAATGTCCAATGATTGAAATTGTGGATGGGGATATGGATGTATCGACATGGGAGGGATTCTTGCAAAGTATTTTTCAAAATCTTTTTTCTTTGTTCTGAAGTTTTCTTCTTCAACATTGGCTGTTTTTTAAAAAAAATATGTGAATATTCACAGTAATGGTATGAATGCAATATTCATATGTCGATGAAAAGCAACAAAACATGATTAACTACGATTTGTCACTCAAATTGTTTTGAAATCTGAGTATATTCCCAGCAATGATACCAAAATCAAAATTTGAGAACATTCACAATAATGATAACAAACACAAAAAATCTACTTTGAAACCAAAATTGAATGGAAGATAAAGTATAGAATTGACACATGCACATTGATTCCTTACCCAATATAGACTTGACAGTATGAAAGACTTGCCATTGTGCTCTGCTCCATCACCAGAATTCTGTGCTTGTGGTTCTCTTTGAAGAATCTCAGCATATGCATCAATTGTCTATCAAATTGAAACACAAAAGTGATGTTAACAAATTAATGAGAAGTTTTTCAATGTTAAAATATTACAAATATTATATGTACATAGCTGGATATGTCTATCCCTTTTACTAAGTTCTTGATATCATTAATAAACACACAATTTTCATATCTTGCACCAAACCATATACAAGCACTACAAAATAATAAAAAATGTGTTAATAATTAAGTCAAAATATTTTTAGAAAACAGAGCTATTTCTCAGTTTCATTTCATATATTTGTACTACATAAAAAATTGAAAGATTTATGTAAAATTATACCTTGATTCTGTTTTCTTTTCTTTCCAAAGAATTTGTAGTTTATATTTATCTTTAGGAGGTAGCAATTGAGCCACAACATACTTGTTTGAAATTGTCTCATCTTTGTGTTCCTTCTCTTTCTCAACTCTAACTTTCTTGCCTCTATACTCATAATCTGACACCTCAGTAGTCTTCCTTGCTTTAGCTTTGATATTTTTAATCATGGAATTCTGTAGATTTGTTTGTCTTGATTCTGTCAGATCATCGGCTTTTATTGCACAAACTTGTTGGGTTAAGTCATGGACTTCTTCCTCTAGTAACTGATTCTGCAATTGAGAATTTTGACAATCTTTCACATTTGTATTTGTCTCACAATGTTTTGTTGCAAAAGGTTGTTGCGTTATCTCATGGACCTCTTTCTGATGGAGCTCTTTGTTCACAACTTCAGAATTTTCATGGACCTCTTTCTGATAGAGCTCTTTGTCCACCACTTCAGAAGTTTCATGGACCTCTTTCTGCAACACTTGAGAATTTTCATCGTTTATTGTATGACCTTCATTAATGCACAAACTTCTTGGGTTATCTCATGGACCTTTTTTTCAACCAATTGGTTATGCAATCAAGAATTTTCATCTTTCAATTGTTGTATTTGTGCTGTTAGTAGCCTGTTATCCTCTTCAAGTTTATTTATGTAGATGGTCTTTACTGTGTTGTCTAGTTACAAATTGTTGTTCTCAGTTTGAAGTTTCTCAAGTGTTTGTTGATGAATTTGTTCTTCTCCCTCAGGTGCATCATTGAGTATAATGTTGCAGAAGTCATTAAAGTCTTCATTTGTTGGCTTTTGTTCTTGGTGGCACTCTTCAGCATATTGACCATCTTCTTCTTCTTCATCTTCTTCTTCAGTATTTTCAGTATCTTGTTTTTGTTGTTCTTGTTCTTGTACTTCTTGTTCTTCTTCTTCAACATTTTCTTGTTCTTCATCTTCGGCATTTTCAGCATCTTCTTTTTCTTCTTCTTCAGTGTCATCAAGTTCTTCATCACTTTCCTCATTCAATTAAGCACTAGTTACCTGTAGGTCAACATACAATAGATATTAGTTTTTGAAATAATTGAAGTTTAGAAAACTAAAAAGTTTCTCAGTAATAATTCAGTGTATAAAAATAGGGATTTTTCCCAACTTGAATTGACATTCAAATGAGATAAGGATGTGACCTGTCTTATTGTCAGCTGATGTAGTGATATGACTTTCATACGTTTATGTAATTTGGCAAGATTCCACTTGATCACCCTTGGGCATGCTTTGCTAACTTCAGGGTGGATGATCAGTGTGTGCTCACATAACCAATACTACAAAGCAATTGTAAAGAATTTTTGTCATTTGAATAAGAAGTAATACTATCTGTTATTAACAACAAACTAATAGAATAGAGTAAAGATGTACTTACTAAGAGAGCCATAACACATCCTGTGACTTTTGCTAGATTTTTGTGGTATTTTTCAATTGAAGACATCAGTGTGTTCCTTATTGCTTCTGCCCAATTGTATTTTCTCATTGAGTTTATGTCTTCCATGTAATTAAGAAATACCCATCTGTAGACACCCTATTTTTGACCGACCTTAAGACACAGACGTCATCGATTGAGCGCTTGGTGATGTTGCATGTTGTGCTCGTTCGGAAGTCGCGGAGTCTTGGCTGCGAGCTTTGCCTTCGGACTTTTGGACTCTTTCACGCCTTACCTCGGTTTGCGAACTAGGCTCGGTTTTCTCTGTTTCACTTCTCGAAGGGAGGGAGAGGTCTCGTAGATCATCTCTCAGTGGTCGTATGCTACGTTTCGTGGTCATAGGCCATTTTGCCCGTTTGGAGTCCGATTTTCGATTTTTCGGAGCCGTTGGCCGTGTGCCTCGGTTCGGGACCGCTTAACCACCTCCGTTTGCTCCAGTTTTTGGCATGCATCTTATTTGCTCTCTTTTGAGGGACACTGTGACCCGAGAGACCAACTTCGTGGTCGAACACCACTTCCGATGCCTAACAGTCAGTTTTCGGGGCCTCGGGCTGCGCGTTTCGGCCCCCGAACCTTCATTTTGCATCGGTTTGGGCTCATTTTTGGTGGAGACCTTATTTTCACTGTTAGAAAGCTTGTAGGAGGGTGGGAGGCCAGCAATTTTTCTGAAAAGCCAACTTCTTTTTGGTCAAAAGTGGTTCAGCATGAATCTGGGAAGGAGAAAAATCTGCGCGGCTTCACCGAAACGGGCGTAACTCTTTGCACAAGAGGAATTAAGATATGAGGCCACCACCATTGGAAAGCTTACTTCCGGGGCTTCATTTTGCACTCAAGAATATCCTAATTCCAAGTCCGGGGGGAGGAGATGTGGTTGGTTGAAGTCCGGTTGGACCGAATCTGCGCGGCTTCACGGAAAAGGGCATAACTTTTTCTACAGGAGGAATTTTAATGCAAGGTTTACGCCATTGGAAAGCTAACTTCTGGGGCTTCATTCTGGAGGGTGACCGGCCACTTTTCCCCTTTGACCTGGCCGGCCGGCCACTTTTTCTGGCCGGCCAGCCACTTACCTGGTGGATGACTTTTTTCCCCTTTTAAACTGGCCGGCCATTTTTGCCCCTGTGAGTGCATTCCAGCCATGTATTTTTTTTTTTTTACACTTCACCCATGTCCAAGGGTTTGGCACTTTTGGAGGGAAACTTGACTCATTTTCCCTCCATTTTTCCGCCCCTTTTTCCCCCTCTTTGGCCTATATATCAGCAGCTCCAGCTGCTGGTTTAGGGTTACAAAAAATCCCCCTCAAGCCTCTTGTTGTATCTCTCTCCCTCTATACACTCCAAGCCTAAAACCTCTCAAGTCCTATACCCCTTTTCATACCACCACCAAGCCCCACCCTTCCATCCTCCATTCCAGCAGCTGGAGGTTGTTCTTCAAGGCCTAGGAGTGCTGCAACTCAAGCCAAAAGGGTGCCAAGGTTTAGTCTACAAGGGTAAGCTCTATTTCCCTCTTTTTGGTCCATATCTTGCATCCTTTCTAAGCCATACTTGCTTGCTGTTTTGGGCTCCGACCCTAACTGGAGTTAGGCTTATTTTGAGCTCCTTTTCACTTTTGTTTGAGGGCCTCTCACTGTTTGAGGCCTCCTTGTTGCACTTGCTTCATTATCCCTCTTGTATGCATATTCCTTGTGTAGTATTTTTGGCCTACGTGTAGACTGTTTTGAGGCATGTCATAAACTGTAAAGTTTCTTATTTTGAGCCCTTCTTCAACATTTTTGAAGGGCTCATTGTTGTTTGAGGCTTCCATTTTCTACTTGCCTTTATATCTCTCTTTTGGTCATATTTTTGCATGATTTGTTAGCCTCTTTTGCTTCTGTTTTTGGACTGTGGTCCAAACTAAAAATGGACTTATTTTGACCCCCTCTTCATGTTTCATTAAGGGTCTTTCATGGTTTGAGGCATCCTTTATATACTTTGTGTTATATCTCTCTTTTTGGCCTCATTTTACATAGTATCTTAGGCTTGCATGAATACTGTTTTGGGTCCGGCTATCAACTGTAAAGTGAAATATTTTTGGACCCTCTTCAACATTATTGAAGGCCCCCTTTGTGTTTGAGGCCAGCAACCACCACTTGCTTCTTTGCCTCTCTTTTGGCCCATTTCTTGCATAAGAGGTTAGCCATACCTGTGCTGGTTTTCGTGGTTTTCCATAAACTGTAAAATATCATATTTTGGGCCCCTCTTCAATATTTTTGAAGGGCCCTCATTTGTTTGAGGCCTACATCCGTGACTTGCTTCTTTATCTCACATTTAGGGCTATTTTTTGCATGCTAGTTTTTCCCTATTTGTGTTTGCTGTTTGGCCTCGCTTAGAACTGTAAACATGCTTGTTTTGGGGCTGCCTTAAATCTGTCTTCACATGTCATGATCAAATAATGCATGCTTGAGGTAGCTACAAGTCATTTCATATACTTAATCTTGCATTTCGGGACCATTTCATGCATCGGATGCCATATTCCTATGATTCGGGGCTGTTTTGGGTTATGTTTTGCTTCTGAAATTTGCATGTTTGAATATCATATTTCATGCCTTGCCATGTCTTGTTAGAGTGGCATTTTATGCCTTAGGGTTGGTCCTCGGTTTGCGTGCATGTGTGCACGTATTCCGAGTTGTCTCATTTTCATCTCATGGCCTCTTATGCGAGTGTGGCTGAGGTGCACTTGTGTTAGTGTAAGTCCATTCATGCATTGTGTATGCCATTTTATTGCATAGCATTGCGTATGCTAGGTTGTATGTTAGAGCATTGTGTATGCCATGTTACCTCGTGCATTGTGTATGCCATTTCATAGCATTGTGCATGCTAGGTTGTATATTAGTTGCATTCATGCATGTCATGCATATCGCATTGTGCTTGGGATAGGAGTTAGCCCGAGCACGGGAAACGAGGTACGTTTCGTACTCCGAGTGACGGAACGTGTCTCAATTCCCAGTGATCGACACTTCGGACTATCCATGATGGAGTTAGGTTTTAGTTGAGTTTTCATGTGCATTCATTCTATATTGAGTAATGCAAATCGACTCCTCGGCCATCATGCATCGAGATGCGTGATTGGTGGCACGAGGATCGAGGCATGCATACATTTGTGAAAATACATTGCTATGCCCCTTTTCCTGCTCTCTGTTGCAGCAAATCAAGAATCAACAGTCTTCCGGGGCTTGGCGCACTTTCCAAGAATAAATTGCAAACAGAGGCTAATTGGGGCATCCCAGTGGATTTCCGCACAAGGCAGCCCAAACATACATCATTCATCAGAGTCAAGGCAGTCCCTGGCTTGCATGCCAGTTTATAGCTTTCCTAGATTAATTTGTAAATTAATTAGGATTTTTGTATTTATTCGGGACTGTAATTATTTATTTGGGACTGTATATTTATTCGGACCCTCTGCGCGAGGGCATAACTGTAATAAGTGTGTGTGTGTGTGATGTATGTCTTCCAACCCCACGTCTTTCTCCCTTTTATTTATCCGCTTATGATAGTTAGATTAGGGCATATTTCAATTAGCATACAGTATGATAGCATGTTTGCATTCATTCATCTGTTTTGCATGCACCGGGCTCGGCTCATCATACTAACTGCATTATATTTTCAATTTCAAGTTGAATACATGTTAGCTGTAGCATTCTATATGCCATGTTTAGAATAGCCGAGCCTGCTATAGTTGCATTTTGCATGTGTTGCATTAGGCATTTCTGTATAATTAGGATCATGCATGGATTTCTAATTAGCTTTTGTTTTGGCTTGGAGTACTCGGTAAGTTTTATGCTTTAGCGTCCTTGCATGCGTGTGAGTGACTGCCATGAATAGCATGCTTACCATGAGGCTATTTGCTTATGTGATATAACTGCCTGAATACCTGTGGGTGAAGGTTGGGTTATTTGGATTGGAACAAATCATCAACAGTGAGTTTTAAGCCCACTAGATAGTGGCAAAACCATCTTTTCTTAAGCCCACCTGAGGGTGGCAAAATCTGCATCTTTAAGCCTACTTGCGAATAGCAAACCATCTTTCAAAAACAAACACGAAATGTTTTGTTCCAATTCAGGCGATCCAGTCTATACTTGTATGCTGTGCGCATCACATAGTAAATCTAGGCTAATAACCGAAATAAGAACACATAATATTTTCAAAAATAGATATCATGGTTAGTAGAGGCCGATCTTTGATTGGGCGAGTGGGGGTGCTCACGAAGTGACCTTCCCCAATCGTACCCAAGTTCCCGAGCCGAGGCAACTTTGGTGATGACGGACACGTGGCCTTGGGCAAACGAGTCAGGGTTTCCTAAATTTCCCCAAAATAAAATATTTAGGTGGCGACTCTGTATCTGGCAAAGCAGTCCATGTTTGGCACTTCTTTCAAAAAAATCTGTTTTCTCAAAACGATTTGCCGGATTTGGACTCTTTGGTTCAGACTTAGAACCGTGACAATTTTAGAGTCCTGAGCTGTAGTGACCCCAAATGAACAGACCGGGACTCACCCTCCCGGGGCGTTCAGGGACGTCTACACCATCCAACTGTTGTTCCTGATGTAGAGAAAAAAACCTTCAAACAAATATACATACGCAACACCCTTATCACATCTTCATTGTCTTCTTTCTTCTTGCCTTTCAATGCTTTTTGCAACAAGTTGGTGATGGTTGTGCTCGATAGCCTTTCAGTTTGTATGCATCTTCTTGTCAGAAATGATGATCTGCTATTATTTCCATAACCAAGATGCATCGGCTCATCTCCACAAGATATACTGAAGATGGACTTGATGTCTTTTGTTGTTAGATTTACAGTTTCTGGTCCTAACTGGAAAGAACCACTGCTGCCTGGCTGGTAAGTTTGGATTATTTTCAATGCAATGTCATCATATTTTCTCCATTGTTTACAATTCATCTTGTTTTTCAATATTGCATCAAACAATGCACAAAATGGGGTTTTCTTTAAGCCATTAATATGCTCATTCCTGAGTTTGATGTGCTGTAATAGCTTCACTATTGTCACCATGTTTGATCTGAAAGTTTGTTCTTGTACTTTTTGTTTTTCTTCTTCAGCATCTTCTTGTTCTTCGTCTTCAGTATTTTCAGCATCTTCTTTTTCTTCTTCTTCAGTGTTATCAAGTTCTTCATCACTTTCCTCACTGAATTGAGCAATAGTTACCTGTAGATCAACATACAATAGATACTAGTTTTTGAAATAATTGAAGTTTAGGAAACTAAAAAGTTTCTCAGTAATAATTCAGTGTATAAAAATAGGGATTTTTCCCAACTTGAATTGAAATTCAAATGAGATGAGGATGTGACCTGTCTTGTTGTCAGCTGATGTAGTGATATGACTTTCATACGTTTATGTAATTTGATAAGATTCCACTTGATCACCCTTGGGCATGCTTTGCTAACTTCAAGGTGGATTATCAGTGTGTGCTCACAAAACCTATACAACAAAGCAAATGTAAAGAATTTTTGTCATTTGAATAAGAAATAATACTATTTGTTATTAACAATAAACTAATAGAATAGAGTAAATATGTACTTACTAAGAGAGCCATAACACATCCTGTGACTTTTGCTGGATTTTTGTGGTATGTTTCAAATGAAGACATCAGTGTGTTCCTTATTGCTTCTGCCCAATTGTATTTTCTTATGGAGTTTATGTCTTCCATGTAATTAAGAAATACCCATCCAACTATTGTTCCTGATGTAGAGAAAAAAATCTTCAAACAAGTAAACATACACAACATCCTTATCACATCTTGAGTGTCTTTTTTCTTCTTGCCTTTCAATGCTTTTTGCAACAAGTCTATGATGGTTGTGCCCGATAGCCTTTCAGTTTGTATGGATCTTCTTGTCAGAAATGATGATTTGCTTTTATTTCCATAACCAAGATATATCGGCTCATCTCCACAAGATATACTGAAGATGGACTTGATGTCTTCTGTTGTTAGCTTTACAGTTTCTGGTCCTAACTGGAAAGAACCACTGCTGCCTGGCTGGTATGTTTAAATTATTTTCAATGTAATGTCATCATATTTTCTGCATTGTTTATAATTCAGCTTGTTTTGCAATATTGCATCAAACAATGCCCAAAATGGGGTTTTCTTTAAGCCATTAATATGCTCATTCCTGAGTTTGATGTGTTGTAATAGCTTCACTATTGTCCACATGTTTGATCTGAAAGTTAATCTCCATTCTCTACGCTTTCCCTTTTGCTTTTTATCCATTGAAGTTGATTTTTTATGCTTTCTTATCATTTTCTTTGCATTACTTTTTAGTCTTGGGGTTTTCATGAGTTGCTTTCCTATACGGAAAATCAACACAGACAAGATATAAATACTGAGAATGTGCCCTAAAAGAATCAATCCAATGTCATTCTCATGAAGTCTAAATTTGATGACATTCATGGCTATAAAAACAAATTCAACATTGAAAGTTAAATTGAAAGCAATAGAAGATTATTAACTAGGGTTTTTCACTCAAATTGATTCAAAATATGAGAACATTCACAGCAATCGCAGCAAAAATCAACATTGAAACTTAAATTGGAAGCAAGAGAACATGATTAACTAGGGTTTTCAGTCTAATTGATTGAAAACTTGAGAAAATTCACAACAATCATGTCAAACTCAATATTGAAACCTAAATTGAAATAAAGAGAATATGATTAAGTCCGGGTTTTCACTCAAATTGACTAAGAATCTGAAAACATTAACAACAATCGTACGAACATTAACAACAATCGTACGAACATCAACATTGAAACCCAAATTGAAACCAAGAGGATATGATTCACTAAGGTTTTTTACTCAAATTTTCTAAGAATCTGAGAACATTCACAGGAATCATACGAAAATCAACATTGAAAGCTAAATTGAAACTAGAGAATATCATTCACTAAGGTTTTTTACTCAGATTGTCTAAAAATTTGAGAACATTCACAGGAATCGTGCCAAAATCAACAATGAAAGCTAAATTGAAACTAAGAGAATATGATTAACTATGGTTTTTCACTCAAATTGATTGAAAATATAAGAACATTGACAGCAATAGTACCACACTCAATATTGAAACCTAAATTGAAAGCAATATGATTAACTAGGGTTTTTTATTCAAATTGATTCAGATTGAAACCCAAGTTGAAACCAAGAGAATATGATTCACTAAGGTTTTTTTACTCAATTTGTCTATGAATCTGAGAACATTCACAGCAATCACACCAAAATCAACAATGAAAGCTAAATTAAACCAATAGAATATGATTAACTAAGATTTTTCACTGAAATTGATTGAAAATATGAGAACATTCACAGCAATGGTACCACACTCAACATCGAAACTTAAATTTAAAGGAATGGGATATGATTAAGTAGGGTTTTTCACTCAAATTGATTCAGAATATGAGAACATTCACAGCAATAGCAGCAAAATCAATATTAAAACTTAGATTAGAAGCAAGGGAACATGATTAACTAGGGTTTTCAGTCAAATTGATTGAAAACTTGAGAAAATTCACAACAATCATGTCAAACTCAATATTGAAACTTAAATTGAAATCAAGAGAATATGGATTAAGTCCGGGTTTTCACTCAAATTGACTAAGAATCTGAGAACATTAATAACAATCGTACGAAAATCAACATTGAAACCTAAATTCAAACCAAGAGAACATGATTCACTAAGGTTTTTAACTCAAATCGTCTAAGAATCTGAGAACATTCATAGGAATCATACCAAAATCAACATTGAAAGCTAAATTTAAACCAGAGAATAAGATTCGCTAAGGTTTTTTACTCAGATTGTCTAAGAATTTGAGAACATTCACAAGAATCGTGCCAAAATCAACATTGAAAGCTAAATTGAAACCAAAGAATAAGATTCACTAAGGTTTTTTTACTCAAATTGTCTAAGAATCTGAGAACATTCACAGGAATCATACCAAAATCAACATTGAAAGCTAAATTGAAACCAGAGAATAAGATTCACTAAGGTTTTACTCAAATTGTCTAAGAATATGAGAACTTTCACAGGAATCATGCCAAAATCAACAATGAAGGCTAAATTGAAACCAATAGAATATGATTAACTAAGGTTTTTGACTAAAATTTATTGAAAATATGAGAACATTGACAGCAATGGTACCACACTCAACATTGAAACCTAAATTGAAAGGAATAGGATATGATTAAGTAGGGTTTTTCACATAATTTTAGTAAGAATCTGAGAACATTAACAGCAATGATACCCAAATCAACATTGAATCCTAAATTGGAAGTAACAGAAGTTGATTAATTAGGGTTTTTCACTCAAATTCAATATGAATATGAAAACATTAACAGCAATGGTACTAAAATCAACATTGAAAACTAAATTGAAAGTAAGAGAACATGATTAACTAGGGTTTTCACTCAAATTCAGTAAGAATCTGAGAATATTAACAGTAATCGCACCAAAATCAACATTGACACTTAAATAGAAAGCAAGAGAACATGATTAACTAGGATTTTTCACTCAAATTCACTAAGAATTAGAGAATATTCACGGCAAACGCACCAAAATTAACAATGAAACCTAAATAGGAAGCAAGGAAACATGATTGACTAGGGTTTTTCACTCAAATTCACTAAGAATCTGAGAATATTCACAGTAATTGCACCAAAATCAACAATGAAACCTAAATATGAAGCAAGGAAACATGATTAACTAGGGTTTTTCACTCAAATTCACTAAGAATTTGAAAATATTCACAGCAATTGTACCAAAATCAACAATGAAACCTAAATAGAAAGCAAGGCAACATGATTAACTAGCGTTTTTCACTCAAATTCACTAAGAATCTGAGAATATTCATAGCAATTGCACCAAAATCAACAATGAAACCTAAATAGAAAGCAAGCGAACATGATTAACCAGGGTTTTTCACTCAAATTCACTAAGAATCTGAGAATATTCACAGCAATCGCACCAAAATCAACATTGAAACTTAAATAGAAAGAATGAGAACATGATTAACTAGGGTTTTTCACTCAAATTCACTAAGAATTTGACAATATTCACAACAATCGCACCAAAATCAACATTGAAACCTAAACAGAAAGCAAGAGAACATAATTAACTAGGGTTTTCCACTCAAATTCACTAAGAATCTGAGAATATTTACAGCAATCGCACCAAAATCAACAATGAAACCTAAACAGAAAACAAGGGAGCATGATTAACTAGGGTTTTTCACTCAAATTCACTAAGAATGTGAGAATATTCACAGCAATCGCACCAAAATCAACATTGAAACCTAAATAGAAAGCAAGAGAACATGATTTTTGTGGCATTACAATGAATGTTCTCAGATTCAGAAACAAAAACAAAAACAAAAGTTTCGAAAACAAAAGTTTCGAACTCAACACTCAAGCTGAAATGGAAATAAAAAAACAAAAGGTTCGAAAATGAAAGTTTTGAACTCAACATTCAAGCTGAAATGCAAATGAAAAACAAAAGTTTCAAAAATGAAAGATTTCGCAAAAACTAGGGTTTAAAATACTTGAATCTTACTTGTTTTCACCATTTTTGGTTTTTCGGATGTTGAAATGTTTGATGATCTAGTTTGTTTTTGTGAAATCTGAGACGAGATTGATGAAGGAAGACAAGATTGATGAAGGAAGACGAAATGTGAGGCGAAATTGATGAAGGTGAGAACGAAATCTACAAGGGTGAGAAATGACGGGATGAACTGTGAATGAAATCGTGAATCTGCAATTTTTGTTTTGTGTTTTGATTTGGTAAGGGTAGTTTCGTCATATTAATGGATTATGGGAATTACTGGTTAAAAGTTTTTGAACTAGGACTTAATAGACCATTATTTGCTAAAACAGGACTTACCTGTAAATCACTCAATCATTTTATTTATATTTTATTTAATTTCGTTATTTATATTTTAATAGATGTTTTATTTAATTTCATTATTTCATTATTATTATTTTTTAAAATAAATTTATTTAAAATTTTAATTAAAAAATAACATACATTTTTATTGATATTTTATTTATTTAATTTATTTAATTTTTTAAAAATAAATTTATTTAATTGTGTAAAAAATAAAATAAAATAAATTTTTATTTAATCTAGTTAAAATAATTAAAATATTAAAGATTTGTTTAATATTGCTATAACTTAGTAAATAATTGAAAAGGGTAAAATAGTCATTTGAACATTTATCCTTCTTCATAATATCCCAAACAAACATAGGATTCATATCCTATCCAACCAAATAGTCTTTTCCTAACATCTAATCTCATACCTAAACAAACATGGGATACTGTGGCTCGATTTTTCGTGCTCCTTTAAGAGACGACTAACCCCACAGTTCGGACTCCTGTGGTTCTGAATCTAATATCACAAGTGCAATATAAAATAGATAAACACCAAAGTTTTCAATTCTAGCAA